CTTGTATAATCTTTAGGTAAAAGCTTGAGACATCAAGTTCTTGGTGATTGTCGTGTTTTCGGAGATACTATCTTTGAAGCTTTCCGTTTTTCCAAATACAACACTTTTGGCGTTGGTTTATGTTGTCTTTCGGAACGAACGACATCAACATTTTCGACGATGTTTTTTTATTTCATTTTTCGTGTTTGTACCATTGTTTTTATCTGAAAAAAAAATTATTTCATATATTAGTATATCATAAAACATATATTAGAKGTAATATGTTYGAAATAATTGGTAGATATCATAGTTATATAAGAASTAAATCAATTTYATAYCATATGTATATCAAACATATATCACWTATATATCAARARTATRYATGTTAATCATAGTTATATCAGAAGTAAATCAATAGTATATAAGAGTCAATCAGTTTTATATCACATATAGTAGTAGATATCATAGTTATATCAGAAGTAAATCAATTTCATATCATATGTATATCAAACATATATCACATATATATCAGGAGTATATCTGTCAATTATAGTTATATCGTAAGTAAATCAATAGTATATCAAAAGTCAATCAGTTCTATACCACCTATAGTAGTATATATCATAGTTATATCAGAAGTAAATCAATTTCATATCAAATATATGAAACATATATTACATATATATCAGGAGTATATCTGTCAATCATAGTTATATCATAAGTAAATCAATAGTATATCAGAAGTCAATCAATTCTATGTCACCTATAGTAGTAGATATCATAGTTATATCAGAAGTAAATCAATTTCATACCATATGTATATCAAACATATATCACATATATATCAGGAGTATATCTGTCAATCACTAGTATATCAGAAGTCAATCAGAAGTAATTTATTGTTGGTTCGAGCCTGCAGGGTATATTTGTAATTTATAACGTGGGCCTCCGTTTTTTTCCCAAAAAAATGCTATATTTGAAAAACTCAAACCTTGCTATTTTGCTTATTTTCCTAACTTTTTTTGTCATATCTCAAGTTGCCCCATTAAAAATTTTATTTTAGAAAAATGTAAAACGATTTTAAAGGTATCACTTAGGTAGGTGGTGATTTTAAAAAATCAATTATTCTTAAATCTCTTTTTTAAAAAAAAAAATACACATTCTTCCATCACTCCCAAACATATTTAATAGATTCTATGAATAAAAAATAATAATAAAAAAAGTGAGTACTCCTGATTATTATATATATATATATATATATATTTACCGATCGACGTATAAGATTAAAGTAAAATATTTGAGAAGATGTGGGTATAATTGGAAATGAATGTTATAATTTAGAGAAATTTAGGCATAATTTTAGGGTTGAATTAGAATGGTAGAATCTTGGCAGGGGATTGAGCGTTGGTTGAGGAGCGTGCGGCGTTTCAATGCGAAATGGAATGCCACCTTCATAATGTTTGTTTGCCTGCTTGCTGTTGCTTCTAGGTCAACAAATTCGATTTTTTTTCTTTTTTTTTTAAAGACCCACATGATTTACAAATATAATATGATTTTAAAACATGGAGAAATTCATTTTCCTACTCGTTTCGTTTTACGAAGTCAATTGTAAATTCTATTTTCTTTTAAATTTGTGACGACCTTTAATTTCATTATTTTTTAAGTTTGAAAAAGCTATATTTCTATTTTAATTCTATGATTTTAGGGGAGCCCAATTACGGGGAAAAAATTAATATTAATTTATATATATATATAATTTTTTTTTTAATTTAAAGTGAAACCAGAGAAAGGCAATCTTCGCTCTGCTGCAGTTTGGTAGGGTTGGATCTGATCATTTGGCTGAGTTTGACCATTTCTTATTTAGTTGGGAGGAAAACATATAAATATTTTTTCACTTCTTGTTTAGGCATAAGGTTTAAGTAAAATTCGTACCTAACTCGGGGTGGTTAAAGACGTTTATTACTTTATTTGAGGCTGTAGGTTTAATATCCGACTTTCATATTTGTTGTACTAAAAATTTATTGAAATAAAATAAAAGTTAACTATGGAATTAAATATAAGTGTAGGAGTTATTTTTGTTTTTTTCTCCTTGTTTTAGAACATTGCACATTCTATTTTAAAGTGTACTTCAAAGATTCCTCCCAAATTTGTAAATATTTGACTATCAATAAAGTTATAAAATTCGTAACAGATTGAAAGGAGACTATTCAATTTATATACTTTGAATTTGAATTTACTCACCAATTTGAATTTACTCACCAACATGAGCATAGATCGATAATTAGTATATACTATTTTTCTCAAGTTCAGAGGTGTTGAGAAACTAATGCCCTGAATAATTTTCCCTTCCACATGGATATCTAAACACAACCACAATATACAAATAAGGAAGAAAAAATATAAACACAAGAATAAGACACAGCAAAAATATAAATATTCCTTAGAGATCCCAACAAAAGTCTCATAGTTTCGAAGTATTCTAAACTTAATAATACTTAAATACAGGATTGAGAAACTCACAAGAATCAATATCTAATTATCTCGAATATGTCAATCTTGATCAGCCCCAATGTCTCTGCCAATACTTCGAACCTCTGCCTCGAAACTATAAAACCCTCTGAAAAACGACTCAAAATCGATTGAGAACTACCCTAAAACTCGAAGCTGGTGTATTTATAAGCATCAACACAACGCCATAGCGCTACGGACGGACTTCCGTCCGCGCACACACAACAGGACAGTGCCGCAGGGCCGTCCCCTAGCGTGGTGCTACCTTCTCGGCCCCCTTGACCTGCAACGCTCCTCTTCCCCTATTTTCATCCCTGCTTCGTCTCCAACACATCCCGACTTGATCCCGACTCGTTCCTAGCTCATTCCAACGTCAATTTGGCTCCACCAATCTCATTCAATCACTCATATCCCCAACCAAATTATTGTACTAAAAAAAGATTTACTTTGGTGAGTGAAGTGTCATATAGTCGATTTTTAATAGATCAAAATAGATGTTTTGAAATTACATATATAGAAATGAACAAAGTTGAAAGTATGTACTAAAAAAACAAAAACAAACATGAATTTACTTTAGTGAGTAAAGTGTCATATCAAAATTATGATTGAACCAGTAGACTTTTTAGAAGTACAAATATAGAAATGAACAAAGTTGAAAATATGTACTAAAAGAAAAGATTTACTTGGGTGGTTGAAATGTCATATTAAAATTATGATCAAACAAAATGAGATAAAAAATGAATCAACTAAAATAATCAATTTTTTAATAGTACAATAATCAAAATAGACGTTTTGAAAATACTAATGTATAAATGAACAAAGTTGAAAGTACGTATTAAAAAAATGTTTATTTTAACGAATGAAATGTCATATCAAAATATAATGGAACAAAATGATATAAAACTGAAATGAGTCAACTAAAATATTAATTATTAATAGTACTAAATTAAAAGGGACCTTTTTGAAAGTACGAATATAGAAATTAACAAAGTTAAAAGTAGAATGGAAAAAGAAAAAGAAAAAGAATTACTTTGGTGAGTGAGGTGTCACATAGATAAAAATGAAAAAATAAATCAATTAAAATAGTCAAATTTTATATAGTACAATAATCAAAATTCGCGTTTTATAAAGTACAAAAATAAAAATGAACAAATTTGAAAGTAGTATAATTATTGAAATAGTATTCAAATTTTTTTCTTTTAATTTAATAATATGTGAGGATGTAAACTCATCTTCTGACCGTTATAATACTCTAACTTTGTTTAAGATATATATTTTCTACATTATTTGTAATAATTTTTGTTGGCTAATAAAACATCATTTGTAGAAATAAATATTACTGATTCGCTCAAATACAATTTTATATTTTTAACAACACTTGTATAAAACTTTATTACGTGCATATTTCTTTTATACTATTTAGTTACAAACTCTGTTAAAAAAAAAAAATCAACCAAACTCTATGATTTATGAATTCACAAAAGTATGTGTTGAAAATTATTATTTTTCAAATATAAAGTTGTGATTGGTAGATCTTGGGTGTTTCGTTTAGACATTTATGGGAACCCAATTTGCAAGCATTATTGTCCAAATTTAAATAATGTAACCAAACAAAAGGTGAAAGAAGAATTATCAAGTCAATATTTGAAAAAAAAAATAAAAATAAAAGAAGAAGAATTATCAAGAACTAAAGTTTTACACGACAAAAATTACTTTTAAAAAAATATATATGAAAAAAACATGACTTTCCAATACAGAGTCTAGTTTCTAAAAGTAAGCACGTAGCCACTTTGTGATAGATTCCCCCAATCAATCTATTTTGTAAAATCATTTTTTTTTCTAAATATTATTTCAACTACGTGATCTCATCAAGTACATATCCATACCATTTTTTCGTAAAGCAGGATATTGTTGATGAAAATAATATAAAAATTTCACTAACCTTGTGAAAATAAAACTTTGCATAAAATTAAATGTGGTCAATATACAAAATAGACAATTGAATAATTTCGTGGCACACAAATTTCAACAAAAATCCAATTCCTTAATTTACCTGTTTCTTTTGATTCTATCAATTTCATACCTAACATATGTTATACAATTCATTAATCACAAGGGAAAATATTGTTTTTTTAACAATTATTTCAACAAAACTTATAAAAAGTTAAAAATCACAATACTATTAATTAAGTTGAGAGTAAATATTACAACATCTTTATAAATTTAAAGTAAAATACATATCCAAGAGTTTAAAAGTCCGATGTGATAGAATTAAATTTTTTAAAAATAAAAATTGACGTAATCTTATATTCAGAGTCCAAAATTGATTATTTTCTTTTATTTCTTCTATTTTTCTTGAAGTTGAAGGTCCAAAATAGACGTATTAAAATTAAAAATAAAGTAAAATGAAATAAATCTAAAACTTCCCAAACGAAAATGGAAACCAAAAGAATAGAGAAATAATAATTTCGATGCTATTTGTTTTATTATGCGAATATGATATATTTCAAGACGGGTCAAAATTGAACAGCGAGGGACACCGAGACCGAGAAAATAGTCAGACCCGACCCATAAGTAACGGTGAGATGGGCAGGCAGCTTGACCCGGATCCGGCCCACCACCGGTCGGTCCTCGACAGCGATTGGACCGAACCGCACGCATAGCATAGCCACTTCCAAATTTCAATCTTCAAACTTCAAAGTCATCAGTCTACGCCACGCCAATCAAGCTCAAATTGTTAATTTTGCATTTTAATTAAAAAAAATACATATTTATTTATATATTCCGGATAATTCCGAGTTAATTAATTATTAAAAAAAATCTCCGAATTAAATATCTTTTAACAGTTGTTATTGCAGTCGTCAGGCAAACAAGCCGGCTACTGTTTGGAGAATTTAAGTCGGAGTGGGACCCACCAGCCCTTCTCAATCAACAGAGCACAGACATTTCCTATTTGTTCGAACAAAAAGTCAGAAACAAGAAAATTAATTTTTAAAAAACATTAAAGAAAAACCAAAAAAAAAATAAAAGGGTGGAGAAGGATATTGCCTTTCACATTTCCAATGAAATTTTTGTTCTCTTGATTGACCCTTCATCTTTCATTTCTCTCCCTTTTCTCTGAAAATCCCTTTTCAATTTTTTCCCCCTTTTTCTGGGGGTTTTTGCGAACCCTACGGAGCTAAATAGGCGGAAATTGTAAAGAATGGCGACGACCACCACCAGTATAGGCGGCGGCGGCGGCGGCGGTGGCGGTGGCGGTGGGGAGGATAGAGTTTTGGCTACCGCTCAGCAGATAGTCAAGAGCCTCAACACCCCCAAGGAGGTTCGAGACGACATGCTTTTGATCTTCTCTAGTTTCGACAATCGTCTCTCTAGTATCACCAGTTTGGTCGACGGTGGGGAATCTAAGAGGGAGGGAGATCGATTTGAAGCTGCTGAGAAGGTGATTCTTCGTTGGGATTCCGGTACTGGAGCTTCTAGAAACTCTCTCTATTGGGATGACTCACCGGATGAGGCGGCTGAGTACTTGTCTGCGGTCGATGATATCATTCAATGGATGGACGACATGTCAATTCGTTCTGATTCTGCTGAAATCGCGGAGCGTGCTGAGAACGCGATCCAGATCGCTATGTCGAGGCTTGAGGATGAGTTCCGTCATATGTTGATTCGAAGCACGGTCCCTCTTGATGCCGAGCACCTCTACGGTTCAATTCGTAAGGCATCCCTCTCTTTCGCTTCTCACGACTGCGAAAATTCCGATGAATTCGAGTCGTTTGCCGATGTTGACCGTGGTTCCGGAATTTTCCATGAGCGCGGTGTGAGTTTGGGCGACGATTTGCGGGTCGATTTGATCCATCCTGACGCTGTCGTCGATTTGAAAGAGATCGCAGATCGGATGATTCGTTCTGGATATGAAAAAGAGTGTGTTAATGTGTATACTGGTGTCCGACGCGATGCTTTAGATGAGTGCTTGGTGGTTCTTGGAGTTGAGAAGCTAAGTATTGAGGATGTCCAGAAAATTGAATGGAGAAATTTGGACGAGAAGATGAAGAAATGGATCCAAGCTGTTAAGGTCACTGTTCGAGTACTTTTGACGGGCGAGAAACGGCTGTGTGACTATATCTTTAGTGGGTCTGATGACTCTGAGGAAGCTTGCTTCAATGAGACTGCAAAAGGGTCCATCAGGCAATTACTGAATTTTGGAGAGGCCATTGCTATAGGGGAAAGGTCAGTGGAGAAGCTATTTCGTATTCTAGATATGTATGAAGCTCTGGCATATGTTTTACCGGACTTGCAGGCTATGGTCACTGAAGAATTTGTGATTGAGGAGGCGCAAGGAGTGCTTTCTCGACTGGGAGAGGCCGCTAGAGGTACATTTGCCGAATTTGAGAATGCTGTTCGGAGCGAGACTTCTAAGAAAACAATGTTGAACGCTGAGATCCACCCGCTCACTCGATATGTCATGAATTACTTGAGATTGCTTGTCGTTTATAGTAAGACTCTGGATGCACTTTTAGAAAACGAGGATGACGATCTGCATCATCTAGGGGATGATGGTGCTGACAATTTGGAGTTAGAAACTATGTCTCCTTTAGCTCGGCGACTGTTTTCATTGATATCATCATTGGAGTCCAATCTAGAGAGAAAATCCAAACTTTATGGCGATGATTCGATACAATATATATTTCTCATGAATAATATACAATACATTGTGCAGAAAGCGAAAGATTCTGAGCTTGGAAAGCTCTTGGGTGACCGCTGGGTTCGCAAGCGCCGGGGCCAGGTTCGCATATATGCAACAAACTATCTCAGGGCCTCTTGGGGCAAACTTTTATCTTTCTTGAAGGATGAAGGTACTGGTGGGAGCTCCAATAGTGCCCTGAAACTAGCTACTTTAAAGGAAAAATTCAAAAATTTCAATGCTGGCTTTGAGGAAATCTATAGAATTCAGACAGCTTGGAAGGTGGCTGATCCTCAACTACGGGAAGAGCTCCGAATTTCAGTATCGGCAAAGGCGTTACCTGCCTATCGTGCCTTCTTGGGAAGGCATGAAAGTCAGTTAGAGAGTACAAGACATGGCGGGAGGTATTTAAAGTACTCATCTGATGACTTGGAGAACTATTTATTGGATTTGTTTGAAGGATCACCATGTGTTATACACCACTTACGAAGAAAAAGTAGTTCATAGAGACATACTGGACCGACTCTGTTGACAGGTATGACCCATTGAAGAGGTTGACCTGTTGAATGTAATTTACTCATATTTTCTGTTCTTCATGGTGTTAATACAATGGGGTCATCAGAAAGACTCATGTACATGTTTGATAGGGCTATAATTTATGTATTTCTGGATTGTCATGGTTTGTGATCTTATTACCTGGAATCTTTTATAACGTCAAATACATTTTTGGATTTTACCTTATGTACATAAAACTGCTACTCGATAATCATCATTCGCTTTATCTCTTTAGTGAAGAAACATTCTTAAATGCATATTGTATACTGGATAACTGGAGAATTACCAAATCAATTATACTCCAATAGATAATCTTTTATCTTGTTCATATTCTCTGTAACATTTTGAAAGCCTCCTACCTTCTCATGTTCGTTAAGATCAAAACTAGACAATCGCTTACAACATCAGATATTGAATAATATGCTTCAAAATTCTTGACATCCCTAGTAGGTTATTGCACAGCAGGATTTAACTGTGATCCAACTCTGAAGTTTGTCCAACAGAGCTTTCACTCTTGCAGATCTTGAATGATAGTTTCAGCGATTTTTTTTTTTAAATACAACATGGGGCTGGAGATTCGAACTCACTATTAACCAATTGAGTTATGCTCAAGTTGGCGGTAGTATTATTCTCCATAATAGTTTAAGGCATGATCATCAGCATTGTGGTATTTTACACTTTGTTATTACCAAAGATATCATTTTTTGAATATTTTTTCTGAGGTCGAGAGTTCGAGCCTCTCTCACCCCTGTTAGAATATTTTTCCTGCAGTTCTGCATTAATTAGTTGCAAGGATACCTGTCTTTCCATCTAGTTTACTTAATTTAGAATTTCAAAGTAGCGATATTGTGGGGACTGAAACTTTTTGGTTGATTATACAATTTCCTCTGTTGGTTGGCTTGGCAGCTGTTGTTTTTGACAAGAATGAATGGGAAACAATGGATTTTGAAGGTCTTGTTGGTGGAAATTTCATAGTTTTTTATGGCTTTTGGTTGCTTTATTTTACCATCTAGTATTCTCTAGCTGAGAGAAACATCCTTCCTATTTTCATGGATGTTCTAAGAATGTAAATTAGGTTTCTATGAAATGAATGGTGGGGGCTCTTGTCTGAGGGAATTCTGGTGTCTTTTACTGGTATATGAGGGTTCTATGCTTTGGCTTTGGCTTGAAATATGCCTTAATTTGCCTTTTAATTAGCCATCAAACACTTGCCATCAAGGCTTGATCAAAGTTTAGAAAGCTCCATTTTATCCTCTATCTTTGATGCTTCAAAACTGTGCCAAGTATGAATGATCCATTGGCCAATCTCCCTGTTTTGGGGTACTATGGTTATTGGTAAATGGTTTGTTTTGAGGCTTTCGTTTGACCTTTTTGAAAAGTACTTTTTAGTTAATTAGTGGTTAAATTTTTAAATGTTCCTGTCATTTGCAAGGAGCATTAAAAGAACATGTAAATATGTGGTTTCATTACAAAATGAGTAATACAAATCATGTCTTGAAATCTAATCTAAATTACAGATTAAGATATATATCTTCGACCAAAAGATTTTGGATTCGAATGTTCAGTTTCATACATTGTCGTACAACTAATTTTCTTCTACTAATATTTGATAATGACATAGATATTTTTGTATAATTTAATTAAATTATAGGACCAAGTTGGGATTGAGAAAGTAATAACATAAAATATTTTAAGCTAGTAATTTATTGATTAAAATTGAATGATAATGGAATACGGCAATTTTCAAGAGAAAAATAACAGAGGTGTTTATGAGTTGGGTAGGATGGGTTCTATATAGGTTTGATCAAAATTTACACAAATTTTGAATTCAAATAAGTTTAAACAACAAATCCAATTCATACTATTTGGATATAGATTTAAAATTAATTTTGAACTAGAAATATAAATAGCTTGAAGAAGTAAAAATGAATCTTTTAAATTAACAACAAATTTAAAAATTTTACGATTATATAACATCATAGGATCAAGTTAGTTCAACTCAATATGACTCAAGAATGAACCAATCCAACTTGATTTAGAAAAAATGAATCCAATAAAAAGTTATTAGTCTTTTCTATTTTTTCAACACCTCTAATAAAAAAAAAAAAAGAAAAAACCTCTCTCTTAAACATTAATGAGTAAATACATACAATTTTTTTTCCATTTTAGTAGATGCAAAATCATATAAAGCTCGAGGCGATTCGAGATAAGTAATATTTTGACCAATAAACATAATATTGATCTTCGACCAAAAAAATAATAATAATTATTATTATTATTAAAAAAAAGAAATTGACGAGCAGGTGTTCTTTCTTCTAGTTATAAATTTCTAATGTTAACAAAAATTTCATTAATTGGATTTATGGAGAATGCGAAACAGGAAATCGCAATCAGAGCAGCTTAATCTGAAGAGGGGCGAGAAAAAATGTCGAATCCAGCGGAAGAAACCCAAGGAGAGCAGCCTAAGCCATCTGATCTGAACCCTAGCGACCAAAGCGATCACTCCCAAGAATGGGAAACCATGGCGCGCGCTTGGCTTTGCTCCTTCCCCGAGGCCAGAGCTGGCTCCATGGAAGAGGTTGAAGCTTGGATTGACTCCAACCATGCCTCTTTACCTGGAAACCTCAAATCAATGCCCCGCTCCGACCTTTGCCAGAGGCTGATTTCCATCCAAAATTTAATGCGACTTTCCAATCAGGTTCACAGTACTTCCTCTAATGATGCTGTTCTAGTTCTTTATGATTTCTCATACTGTATCAAGACTTAGGCTCTTCATCGTGTTAAGAATTATTGCCTGGAAAATTTATAGTGCGTGCTTTTCAAGAGAGAATGGTTTGATCCTCAGTAGCTTTTATTTCAAGCGATGCCCTCGATGTCATGCAACTTTACATAATACTCTGATAGTGTTAAAATTCTATTAGGACTTGTTTACATGATATTTGTCACATGGTGGTTTAAGGGTTTCACTGTTATCCAAATCCTTCTGTTAATGGATAAATAACTTTAGTTGAGAGGTAAAATGCCGTTCTACAAAAATGTTACACAGTCGGTGGCTAAACTGTTAAGGTTCTACAGTGTTCTTTTCCCTCTGGTTTGAAGCACATTTCTTTCCAATCAAGATATGTTTCATGACAGGGAAAGGAAGAGATTCAGGGTGACCAGGGTGATCAGGGCGATCTTCCACATGCTCGATTTCAACGCACCGACCAGTGGATACCAGTTTATTCTTGGCTAGAGTCTCTACAACATGAAGAGGTTGTCAAGTCAAAGGACATATCTGATTGGTTAACTGAAAATCCCTCCATCAGAGATCAGTTGTGTTCAAGACATTCTCGCTATCATTTAATGCACTACATCAAAAAGTGTCACTTGAAGATACTGAAAAGAAAGGAAAAGAAAAAGGTATCTAAATGAGTTTCTTTAGTCATATGAGCTATTGGGGATTCACTGTTCTGATTGAGTTGGCTAAATTACTGCCTAAATTCCATCCATGTCCTGTGTTCTTATGTTCTTCAAATCTCATCAACTTATTTAATTTGCCAGTATCTTATGACATCGTGGAGTATGGCACGTGATTCTTTAGGATTGTAGTGATGAAATATCATATACAAACTGGTCAATTTGACTCTTGTGGTTCTGTTCTGTGATGAAATTTTTTTGTTTCTCGGGCAGGGTTCTCAGATGCCTGACAAATCTCCTCTAAAAGTTCACAAGGATGTTCTGATGAAACCAGCATTGCCTCCGCGTAAATTCTTTTTTGCTTGCTATGTTTTTCTAAATCCATCCTAGGTTCGAGCTTGGAAGACTTTCCCTTGCCATTTCTTATGAATATACTTAAAAGTAATATTTAGACTCGATTTCTGAAGGCCGGAACTGAATGTTTATTGATTAGAATACGATTAGAAAATCGTCCTTGCCCTCTCAAATTTATGGCCACTCAACTCTGAGCTCGAATTTTCCTTCTGTTTTTGCAGGTGATTCATTTAGCGATCTACCGAAAGACAGCGATGTATATTTGGCAAAACGAAAGGAAGCCTTCCGAAAATATGAAATGTAAGTTTACAGTTCGACCTTTTCTTAGTTAAAGTACTACTTGTTTCCAGAGAAAATGGGGAGATTCGTTTATAATCTCTGAATCTTTCAGTTTAGTGGAGTTGGAGAAGTTGCTTGCCCCCAACTTTTCCAAGTCTCAAGGAGTCAAATAATTGAGGAAACTTTGGAGACTACCTTCACTCTGGGATATGAGACAGTCTTTGCCAGGTTTTTACCTTATTCACTGATGAATCTTGCCCCATTGCCCTGCTTTCCCACTCTGTATAGAGTAGTAGATCTGACAAAACCATTAGAAATTTAATTTACTGAATATTCCCATACCTTATAATTTAATTTACATATCTCTAATCATCATCGTGGCATCGCGACAAAGCAACTTGAATAGAGTTAGTTAAGGTATATATTTTCGACCAAAAGATTAGATGTTCGAATCCTCACCGTGGAGAATATTTCTGACGATATCTGATATTTCACTTCAATATTCTTTCAAGTTTTCAACTGTTAAGGTTTACGTTTTTCAGGAGAATATATTAGTAAAACTAAAACCAATGCAGGATAAAATATGTGATTATCATTTTAAACTTTGTTTCATAATAGTTTAGATGCTAGTATCTAGCTAGAACTCATAAAATACAATAGAGTTTTAAAGAAACTTTAGTCGAATTTGCAATTTCAAATTACAAATTCCTTTTGACAAACTAGTTTCAAAATGTAATTTACCTCGTGGATTATAAATATTATTATTGATTGATACACATGGTGAAACTGAATAATGAAGCCAAGTTTATTAACTATTATAAATAACTATATTTACGCGATTAATGATGAAAACAATTGTAGAGTGTAATTATAATCCTTTTTGCAATTTAATGTATATAAAAGATATCTAACATATCGAATAAATGACTGTTTTTTAGGCTTCAAATTCAAAAATATGTTTAAAATCATATTTATTAGTCATTCGAACAATATTTACTGTCTATTAAAAAACTATTTTCTATAAATATTATATTTAAATAACCAATATCAATTTAAAAAATAAATAAACAGAATCCAAATCATTTCAAAGAGAGAAGCTAATGACATAATATCCAGACCCAAGCGGTTTCTTGTGATATTCCATCGTATGTGTTCCATCCAATATTCTCATAGTACCATACTACCCTCGTATTTAATCACATTATTTCTCGACATGATATTTTATCTGTGGTCCCACGTTTTCAAATATTGGCATATGATCGGGTATAAATGCCAATCTATCATATGGTCTGTTTCAAAAGAAATAAAAAATCTATTATATGTTCATCATAAAAAAAGCACTTCCATCGGGGTCTACACGATATTGTACATTAAGGCAACATTCCATCCAAACTAAAACCGAT